TTATCCCTGTTGGAAGTAAAACGAAACATGGCAACAAAACAATTAAATTATACTGAAAAAATATATACGAACACACAAAGTTACACGAACAAGCTCATCAAATAAGAACAAGCAATCGGTCAGACGCACGAAACATTGAATCCGAAGTGTAATGCACCAGAACAAAACAAAAGCGCTTGCTGCTCTGTCTGGCGAAACCTGACACGCCTAATTTACACGACGTTTCATGTGATTATAGAACCAAATGTATTTTAAACGCGGAGCATTTCTTAGTCGCATGATGTCGCGCTTCGGCGCTGGCGATGGCGCTGGCGATGGCGCCGTCCACACGCCCACTGCGCATGCTCGTGTCCCACGTCTCGTGCTGCATGCTCACGTCTCGTGCCGGCCCAGGAAGACACCCGCAACACAGTCAGTCCCCTTTCCCTCTCTCACCTCGCAAAGCCGACGCAGGAAGCGTCTGCTAGTAACAAAACAACTACTCGTGCTGTACAACCATTCGCTAGCCACCCTGTATATGTAAGACTGGATCGCGCGTTTGAAATTTATTTGAGGGCGATTTTGCTTGGCTTTCGCTTGACGTCGAAGGCAAGGCTTCTTCTTTATTTTATAAAAAGATTAATAAAGAAGAATATAAAGGTATGGAAATCAAGTTTTATGTTTCACTTAGTGTGGGGGCGCTAGTAACCGAAGAAAAAGATGAGAAGACATAACACGCGCCTACTGTGGAACGACTGACAGTTGAGCCCCGCATTGCCCATGATATGGTGTACTTTTTTAATATTGTTCTGGTTCCAGTGCGCTTTCACGGGTCTTCAGCTGACCACCGGCCCTGAGCCCACTTTGGCGCCAGACGTGGGGCGCCAGTTATGGAGTTCTGGGCTGCGGCTGGCCTGAAAACCCAGTAAAGATGACTACATACACTAATGGACAGGTCTTTTATTCGAGATTAGTAGCAGTGGTTATTGCGGTAGTGACACCAAATTCAGCGTAGCATCGGGGAAAGTCTGCCACGACTGCCCGTGAGTGGCCGCTTAGCGCGCGGTCATCGTTCCTCGTTCCCCTCCTCTACCAAGCGCTAGCGCATAGGTTAATGAACAGTGATATACTATGCAAAATATTTATTATTTGCTTTAGAGCCAATTACATTTCGCCATACATTTGCATGCGAGTTCTTCAGAATCCCGGAAGACGGTGGAACGGATTAGTTCTGGGTACAAACACTCTGCATAAGGCGGTTGCGAGTTATGCCTTTCATAACCCAATTGCGTTTCGCAAAGCTGTAGAGGGCTTTCTGAAACCACCGATACAATTTTTGTGGTTGGGCGCGGAGTTTGGAGTTCTTCAGGCACGCCCTACACGACCTAAAGGGCAAATCAGCACCCGGTCCAGACAAGATCACTAACAAGACCCTAAGGAACCTGTATGACAAATCAGTAGAGCACCTCACTGAGTTCATCAACCAGTCATAGAGCAACGGAAATGTTCCAGCACTATAGAAGAAGGCCACCGTCATCCTTATTCCTCAGCCTGGAAAGCCACCCAGTCTCGACAATGTTAAGCTTATCTCGCTCACTTCGTGTGTGGGCAAGGTAGCCGAGCACGCAATCCTGAACAGGCTCTCCCGGTACTTGGAAAACAATGACGTCTATCTTCACAACAAGATACGCTTCAGACCTCGGCTTTCTACTCAAGATGCCATGAAGCTAATCAAGAACCAGATCATTGATCGCAACACGAGATACACGAGCGCCATTTTTAGCCTTGTCTTGGAGAAGGCTTTTGACAACATCCTACTCTCCTATGTTTTGGGAACAATCTCGAGCCTTGATCTGGGCATAACTACACGAGATCCTTTTTGGCGGGCAGAGAAGCTACCCTCAACGTTCGAGACTTCGTTTCAGACTCCATCAAACTTGGTTCTAAGGTACGCCACAGGGGTCGGTCATATCCCCGACCCTCTTCGACCTCGCCATGATTGGTCTCTCCAGAATACTCTCGGAAGTCGACGGCATTATTCATATCATATATGCAGACGACGTCACCATATGGGGCACCGGGGGCAGCGATGGGCATTTGGAAGCTGCGCGTCAAGATGCCATCCAGGTCACAGAAGGCTACCTCAGACCTATTGGACTGCGATGCTCAACGCGGAAATTAGAGCTGCTACTGTACAGCCCTAAGCGCAGGGGCCCCAAACCGAAAGGTTGGAGGCCTGTAGAGGAGATCGTCATCACTCTAAGGACAAGTGAGGGCAGTATCACCCCCAGGGTGTACACCCTCTACGTTCTGGGAGAACAGACAACGCCCTGAGTTTGATAAGAATGGTTTCCATCTGGCAGCAAGGACTGTGCGAGGACAACCTCATCAGGTTAATGCATGCTTTCGTGATGTGCCACGTCACCTATGTAGCAGTAATGCACAACTGGCAGAGGTCGGAGCGAGACAAATAGAACACGCTGATGAGAAAATCGGTAAAGGGAGCCTTCGGGCTTCCCATGTATATGAGCTCAGAGAGGCTGCTTCATTTCGGCGTACACAACACACGGGAAGAGATAGCTGAGTATCAAGAAAGGGCGCAGTTCACGAGTCTTTCTACCACCAGTGCCGGGAGAAACATCTTGAAAAAGCTTGGAGTTCACTCGACAGAAATCAATACTAGCTACTGCCGCATTCCTCTTGAAAAGAGACAGCGTGTTACCGTGGCACCCATGCCTCGGAATGTCCACCCTGAATACAATGTAGGCAGACGACAGGCTGGGGCTAAAGCCCTCCTGGAGAGATCCCCTGCACATGCTCAGAGTTGCTGCTTCGATGACGCTGCACGGTACCCAAACGGAAAAGCATTCGTTGCAGTCACTGTTGATCAAGATGGCAATGTTACGAACTCTTCGTCAGTCAGGACCACAATGACCGAGGTAGCCGAACAGGTCGCAATACCTTGGCCCGACTAGACGTTTGTAGAACAACAATATACAGTGACTCGAGATCAGCAGTCCGGGCATTCGGTAGGGGCACCATCTCGGAATCAGCCTTTCGGATCCTGCGAAATAAGGAGGTACAACAACACACAATCGTCTGGTTCCCAGCTCACATGGGACAGATCGAGGGCGCTTTGTCCAACCTCAACGAGAAGGCCCGCAAAGCTGCACGAGGAGTCATCGACCGCTTAGCTATTAAACGGCGTGACGACGAGGTTCTGGACAACAAAGATCCTCTAACGACGTACAATGAACTTTGCAAGAAATTTTACTTGAGTAGGCGAAAGTATCTGCCACCGCACAGTAAACTCAACAGGCCTCAAGCATTGACGCTCACACTCTTGCAGGTTGGGGCATATCCCAGTCCCGCACTCTTGCACAAAATTTACCCAGAAAATCAGACCGTCAAACACTTGCGCGCTTTGCTCAGACTTTGCCAGCTTAGATCATATGCTCTGGCGGTGCCCTGCGTTACGGGTTGAAAACGTTACATCGTCAAAGTGAGATGCTGCGCTACGCAGTACGGATTCGAGGACGCAGTTGTGGGCAGTCCAACAAGCCCACGTCGTGGCGAACAGGTTAAGCCTATCTGTCGTGGGAGCAGCCCGCTACGTGCTAGTTCACGCCCCGATAAACCTAAATAAAGTTTTTGCATGCCAATGTCATACCATACCATACCATACCATACCATACCATACCATACCATACGTACATGATGTGTGAAGATTTTTCCCCTTTGATTGTGTAAAGCCCACGAGAGATGAAGTAAAACCACATGAAATCCCTCATACACTACCGTACTGCAGGGCCCTCAACCATGCTTCGAGCAAAAGAACTGGCGCTGATCGACAACCTACTGCTAGATGGATGAATGCTATGGGCGTACCCGTTATAACAGGGCAGTGACAAGTGTACCACCAGCCACAACAAATAAATAACTTAACATGCACGACAGCGTTTCCTTGCGTATGCGGGCATCGAAAATGCTGACGTATTGGTAATACGGTGCCCAGAACCGCTACCGCTCTTTTCGCCATTGTGAGCACACCGGTCCTTTCGCTTTATTACCAGGCTTCTCGAGCCGACGCCACCAATGCCTTTTTTAGGGGTGAAGTTCTTTATGGACTAACCTTGTGACTAGCCACGCGTAACCGAGAGAAGAAGAGATGCGAAATAAAAGAAGGCGAAAGAAATGAATGACGATTTATCGTCTCATTAACTAGATGGCGTTACTCTGCCGCTACTCTCCGATCGGCTGCTACGCGCGCTTTGCCAACGAGTGCCTCTCTCAGTCTCCTGGATAGTCACCATACATGGCGGATAGTTGGTAGAGCAAGGACGGAGCAGAGCGGTCGACGCGTTGAAGACGCTTGCGCTCGGCTTCCTTGGCTCGCGTCTCGTCGGTGCAGTCTGCATTCTCGAATGCGATCGGACGCACGCATGGACGGATGGACACATGGACGGACGGACGCTTCATCCCGCTCATCATCATTAACTCCGTGGATATGCTGTGACTCTTTTTCTTATGACTAAATTCTTGTCTCTTACCTGCACAAACGAGTGTTATCGTCTCGGGGAGGATCATCTTCGAAAGTGCGGAAGGTCCATTCCACGAGACAGTCGATCAGATTCGTGGGATCCTGACAGCGACCAGCCACGTAGGAATCTGCGTGCACCAACCAGCCGCGTCAAAGTAGAAAGCACGGACGAGAAAAAATTTGGCCCACTCGTTTCATTAAGGCGAAAACCTCAAGGCGCCTCGCCAAACGCAAAAAAAAAATGACCCTCAGCGGCGTCAAGAGGAGTAATGAAAAAGATCGTCATTTGATGACGTAATCATTACTATGACCATGAAGTCACAGATCACCAAAACTAGAGACGTCATGACGTCGCACGCTTTGTCTCGAAGTTCTTTGGAGAGGAAGAATAAACTTTATTTCAGCGAAAGGGGGGTAAAGGGTAAGTCAACAGCTAATTTGATTATGAGCGTTGATTATCTAGTGGTGAGCTGAGCAGCGCGGTCCGCCAACGCTCCCGAAGGCCCTCATTGAAGGCCGCGTCTCTCGTTTTGCCAATTAGGGCTGGACACACCCAGATATTGTGCGCTAGTGTGTCCCTATTACTGCAATATTTATACGAATTGGAAGCGCAAAATTTCGTTTCCAGGTGCAAGCTTGCGAAATAAGCCTCTCAGTACTCTTTTTTAAGGTCCATGCAGCGATTTAGAAATTTATGTAAACCTACTGGTTTTAGTTCACACCTTCATGTAAAAGATCGCGTCGTCTGTCTGTGTTTCTTCTCTTTTTTTATTTTTTTTTTGTACGCAACAGTCAAAATCAAGACGATTCACTAACAAGTCCAAATCAGGGCTTTTGGACATCAATCACAACTTCTCTCGGGGCTCAATTTCGTCACTGCGTCCCGATGGCTTAGAAGAGTTTGAAACCCTTGTTCTAAGGTTTAACGCTTGATCGCTATCTGATCATTTGTGAAGAGCGCCGTATGTCTGTCCTGTACGAGAATATCTTTTGGCCTTTTTTTTGTAAATTGGGTGTCGTTAGCTAGGCGCAGGTGCTCCGCTCGGTTAGTGAGCTGTCGAGTTTGGTGTGTCCCGGTGACTGAGTCGCATAGTAAGGCGTCATTTACTTGATGCGCTGGTGACCAAACCAGCTTCTTGACGCAATGAGACTTATAAGGGTTCTGTTTTTAAAAGGCCCCTCATCGGTCTCTAAAAAATAAAATGGGGGCGCCTTCAAGAGTTCCACGTGATAGCAATATCCTGCCCCTATAGTGCGTACTTCAAAAACTTAACATATACTTTTTTATTGTATGATATGCTACTCGATATGTGTAAATAGTGGATCAGTACAACTTAATCGCTAAAGCTGAATGTTGCTTCTGCAAGCGAAGCTACCTATCGCTTATTGCTGGATTCTGTCACGGTAATGAATAGCATGCTTTAAACCACGAGCATAAAATCTTTTCGAACTTGCTATGCGCCCACTATGTGGTCTTGCGCATGTAATGTACGTGCCTTTTGTAATGGGTAGCCGGTACGTATATTTTAATGTAATAATACACGTGCACGTGTATTTTAATTTGTTAACTAATGCAAGAACGACAGACCAAGAAGCTCTAGGGTACGATATGAAAATGCGCGGTGTAAAAACATAGCCACGAGTCGGTATACGGTAAATCCTCTCACATAAACAATGTGCCGGATAAGATATTATGCAAATGACCAGGGCGATCTCGGCGACACTTATACGCATGCGATAACGCTTCAACTACGTGCAGGGGAAAATGCGGTTACATATACCTGTCAGGCTCACGGCTCAATTCGTACGTTGATGATTGATTGATTTGTGGGGTTTAACGTCCCAAAACCACCATTTGATTATGAGAGACGCCGTAGTGGAGGGCTCCGGAAATTTTGACCACCTGGGGTTCTTTAACGTGCACCCAAATCTGAGTACACGGGCCTACAACATTTCCGCCTCCATCGGAAATGCAGCCGCCGCAGCCGGGAATCGAACCCGCGACCTGCGGCAATTCGTACGTTCAAGTGAGACCACGAAACGTATTCATACCGTAAACAGACTCTGCAAGTTTCCCGATTGCTGTTTTTTTTCTGTGAATTCTCAGAGACGTGAAAATATTTCGACGCGCAACATAACCAGAACAGCCCTGCCCGATACATTCGTGTCAGATGTGTTATTGCAGCCTCGTGTAAACAGTAAAAACACATTCTAAGCCGATACTATACCGTTCGCCGTATCCACGCGCAGAAATAAACATCCCTCACGACCGAGTAACACCTCTAATTCACGCGAGTATAAAAGAAACACTTTTGACGCGTCTAAAACTTCTGAAGTGATATCCCCAATGGCAACCGTGAAACATTTTTTTTATATCCAGGTATGGGTATTCTATGCACAGCGCTGACGTGCTGGTAAACATGCTCGCTATGGCGATCTTAACACAATGCTTAATCCAAAAAATGCGGCTTGGCACCTTACAACTCTTGACAGAGTTGATCGTTTACGCCGCTCCAAAACATAGCCGGCGTCGAATGCAAGTTCTCGCGTGGCTAATCTTTTTGCGACGGTTTCTGTAAAAATAAAACAAAAAGACAGCCTACCTTTCTTATGCCTTTTCGCGCAAATAACCGTGACAGCTCGTCGGTACACCGTTTTTTTTTCTCTCTCTCTCTCTTTGCACGGCGACAAACAGCACATGCAGCAGCGAGACCACAGCAGCAACTGTGGTAGGCACGGCGGCCATATTGGCTAGAAAGGCTAGCCACCACACGGCGGCTTTTGCCTACCACGCGAAACTAAACTTCCGACGACAGCGCCACCGCATTTTAGTGGGTCATCCGTTTAGAATGCCATCAAGCGCAAGAGTATGTGCGTATTTATAAAAAGTGTAAGGATTTCAATTACTTCGTACTAAACTTGAGGAGTAGTGCATGCAGTGAGCTGTCCAAGAAACACATACTTTTTTATAAAAAGAGTAAAGATTTAGAGTATATGACTAAGGGAGAGCAAAAAGCCGTTAAAAACACCGGCTAAAAGACTTCTGCAGATCAAAACACTCCAGAAATGCGCTAGCATCAGTTTATATTTCAACGCATCGCCGTCCTGCGTTGTACTGTTCTTTTTTAGATACATTGTGAACTTATCCGGTCACACACATTCATTTTGCCTAGGCTCGCAAGCACTATGGTGGCATGGTAACTGTATTGGGTTACTTTGATGTTACGTCAACTTTTGAGTGTACAGTAGAAGCGATGTCACACCTTTGAGTGCCTGAGCATCGCAGATGATGTCGCTCACCGCCTGGTAACCCCGTTCCTGGACCGTGAAATTTGACCTCGTAGTTTCGGGACACAGGGCCAGTTCCTTGTGACACGGCAACTTGTCCTTGATCCGCCTATTGTCACAGAGAAGTTGATGGACGTTCGTCATTGCGGCGACACGTATACGTTCCACAAAACCAAATTTTACACATAGGCAGGATGGCACTGTTTCATATTCAGTCGACGCACATTCCTAAATGGTGCGCTGGAAACCTCGCAGCGGATATATTCGTCCTCTCGACGGGCTTCACGATGCTTTGCGAACGGAAAACGCAAATAAAGTACGGAACCAAGGTTACAGGAGAGTCGTTGCCGAATTTGTTAAGTCTTTCGTGGTCAGAGAGGGAGGTAAGAACCAGAATTACAACATGCGTCTTACTATCTATAGTCGGTTGCAATCTAAGAATAAATACGCGCAGCCGCCCCCTGAAACTGCGGCTCATCAGCCATTCATTCCGTGCGAGAGAGTCCTACTACGGGGTCGCCATTGAAACTATAAGTACAGTTTGCTGCTAACACAAACACTACGCGCAATTATAAGTTAAAAGGTCGACGTCCTTATACTTTAAATATTACATTAGACAGACAGCGATGTCGTATGCGCGGAAATATATGCTATCACTGCAGTCGGCTTTGTGTTCCTTCTTTTGGTCCGGTGGCACTGATGGCGAAACCATTGAGGGAACAGGAGTAGAGGGGCAGGGCATGAGTGAGGGGCAGAGCACTGAGAGCAGGGCCACTCAACCTGCCACTGGAATGCGCCGCGCTCCCGGAGGGCAGGTGAGAAGGTGACGAGTATATAGGCAGACCATGTCACTGAAACATTCCAAGCCCCGGCTTCTTCTTTGTGGGGCAGCTGCAAAATACGCGTGCAATCGGTGAGCCACGTGTTCTTCGTTATTTTAATACCTAGTATGTTTGTGCAGTGACCCATTCGGCAGACGTCCAGCTGTCATCGTAGCCATCCGTACAAAACAGCGCTGTAAAGCTGCACATTGTTGCTACCATTGCTGCTGCGCTCGCAGGCTGAAGAAAAATTCGGAAATTGTGACGTTCAAGGGCCACGTGACTCGTGGTACTCCGCCTACTCCGCTTTTCAGGCGAGAGCACTGCAAACTGCACCTGGCTGCTCTCGGCACAGCAAAAGCACTCTCGCTCAACCTATGAATGACAGTGCTCCTGCACCTGTTCGACCACTGAAACACCCGGCTCCGAAGAGAGCACTTTCAGCGTGCTTTTAAGTGCTCCTGCTCTTCCAATGGAATTCGCCATGAGTTGGTCTCAGGCTGTCGCATTTTTTGCCATGTTTATTCGAACGGTCCTGGGGTAAATGTATGAACACTCCGTTGACACAGCAGCTGCTTTGTTGCTCCCGTTAGCTCCTCCGGTGCGCCATAATATATGGGTTTAACGTCCCAAAACCACCATATGACTACGAGAGACGCCGTAATGGAGGGCTCCGGAAATTTCGACCACCTGGGGTTCTTTAACGTGCACCCAAATCTGAGCACACGGGTCTACAGCGTTTTCGCCTCCATCAAAAATGCAGCCGCCACAGCCGGGATTCGATCTCGCGACCTGCGGGTTAGCAGCCGAGTACCTCCTCCGGTGCACCTTTAGCATTAGTCCGGCCCTTTTGTGTTTGTCTGTGAGAGACGCGTCAAGCTTGTCTTCCGGGCTATATATAATTTGTTTTGATATTCATATATCTTCTCGTAACAAATTTTTGTGTTTCTGTGCATGTTCTGTTCATTGGCGATGTTCTGTTGCAAAGTTATTAATGCCCACTTTTTAAGAATACCTTTCTTTAAACAACAAATTTTCTCGGCGTGGGAGAAGTATGGTCGTAGGTGGAGGTTACACTTATTCTTAGGTTGCAAACGACTGTATCATAATCGAGTGAGGAGGAGAAGAAAATAGAGATGGAAAGAAGACCAGGAAGCAGACACGGTCCACCAAAACAAAACTGCAAATGAAAAGTGCGCGCAGCTTCAAATGACTGCGCGTCGCGAGGAGTATACGTACTTGCATTTCTGGTCGAGCGCCTCCTGGTAGTTGCCCTCGTCGGCCAAGGCCTGAGCCCCCTTCAGCTCGAGTCGGTACGCATCGTAGCACAGGAAAGCCGCTTCCGGCGTGCAGTTACGGGGTTCCGACGCAGCTGCAGGCGAATGAAAGCACGCATCACACGGACGTCATAGGCATACTCATCGGGGCACTTTCTTTCAACTCTTTCTTCTTGCATGGTCTCACTCAAAGGCAATCCTCTTTTAGGGGCGAAGCTTCTTAAAGCGGCACCCGTTCGTCACTCGTCGTAGTACGTAACATGTCTTACGCGTTGACCTGCAAGGTGATGCTGGTGAGGGATTTCTCCTGTGCGTTGTTGAACAATAAAAAATTCGCAGCGTGCGCGTTCACTAAAAGCCAAATTCTCCTGTCTCTCATTCCCCATTAGTAGCCATTGGCATGTACATTGAGCATCATCTGACAAGAAAAGGTTGCTACGTTGTACTCGCTGGGCGTAACCTCCTTGGTTTTACAAACGTTTAGCGAGCGATGGGCCACAGTGCCATGAATACAGTGAACTAGTATATACCATGAACTCGAGGTGGTTAAAGGTGGGAAGTAGACACGAAGCGCAAGCCGTAAGAAAGTGTGCGTGTGCCACCTCTCGTTTAGTCCTTGGAATGTCCGCTGGATGGCGGTGCTTAATATGCAGAGTATATGATGAAAAGATGCGAGATGGTGGTACTTGGAGTGTTGACTAGATGGACGAACGGACACACAGACAGATGCATGGACGGACGCAGGGATGGCTGCACGGACGGATGAACGCATGGACGGAGGCAGGGACGGATGCATAGACGACCGCAGGGAGGGACGCACATATACACGTGCGGACGCACGAACAGACGCACGCACAGACGGGCGGGTTGATGCACGGACGGTCACACAAACAGACGCATGGACGGACGGAAGCAAGAACGAATGGACGGACGGATGCTTCGCCCCGCTCTCCATCATTCACCACGTGGATATGCTGCCATCTTTTTTTCTATCAGTCGATGCATTGATTCTCCCCCTTCCACCCTGAGAAAGCTTTCTGCATCTAACGTGACTACCGCCAAGACTGGACATTGCAGTCGTTCTGCACTCGGCCTGGTTTCGCATAGCCTCCGTGATCAGCGCGGCTCTTGCCGAGCGACGATATCATAGTGATGTCATCACCTGATGTTGTTGCTTGACGTACTGACGGTCAATGTTCGCATTTCAAGGGGCATCTCAGGCTTTCGCCTATATAGCCTTCTTGCAACACCTAGAGCACCAATATATTCGAGCGCAGGCTGGTGCGGTCGAACACGGCAGGCAGTTGAATCGCGCTACGAAATTAAGATTATTGCAGCCACAACATGACGTCGATTTGCGCGGAAGAGGGCCGTGTGATTAGGGCCCTCTTCGATATTTAGTGTTCTCATATTGAACTATTGACAGAAACACATTTGCCGTCTCTGCAGGGACGCCCGATAGATTGGTCATCGCACATGGTCTGTGCACCCTTTCGTTTAGGCCAATCGTGTCCCAGACATGACATCATCGACAGTGCTTGTCGACATACGCACCTCCACTGGAATTGTCGTAACGCATAAGTACGCCGTTTAGTTGCACATTTCGCAGCTCCCCATGTGCAGGCAGTGCAAGAAAGTTGCGAAGTGACGTCAGTGCATACCTACTACAGTGAGAACACCGACCTAAGGAAAATGGGAGAAAAGCTTGCCAAATCCGATAACTTCTCAGTGCCTAACACACGTGTACACTATAAGATGCAGGCCTATAGTGTACGCTTCTATGGGGCGTAGGCATGCGCCCTATAATGAGGACATCCTTCAAGCATGTTCGCGCGTGCGTTTGTACGTGCGTGAGTGTATACACGCGGACAAAATTGAAAATTTCTCATGGAGAGGCTGGATTCCCCCTCACCCCCCTGACTGCACCAGTGACATGTTCATCATCATCAGCCTGACTACGTCCACTGCAGGACAAACGCCTCTCCCATGTTCTGCCAGTCAACTCGGTCCTGTACTTGCTGCTGCCATTTTATACCAACAAACTTCTTAATCTCATCTGTCCACCTAACTGTGTCTCCCCCTAACTCGCTTGCCTTCTCTGGGAATCCAGTTAGTTACCTTTAATGACCAGCGGTTATCCTGTCTACGCACCACATGCCCGGTCCATGTTCATTTTCTTTTCATGATTTCAATGATCTTGAACGCCGGATTGTGCCCTTATCTACTCTGCTCTCTTCTTGTCTCTTGAGGTTACACCTACCCATTTTTCTTTCCATTGCTCGCTGCGTCGTCCTCAATTTGAGCTGAACCCTCTTTCTAAGTCTCCAAGTTTCTGCTCCATAGCTCAGTACCAACAAGATGTTATATACCTGTTATATACCTGTTATATACCTGTTATATACCTTCCTCTTGAGAGATAGTGGCAATCTATCTGTCATGATTTGAGAGTGCTTGCCAAATGTGCTCCACCCCATTCATATAGTTACTTGGTTCGTATATATAGTTCATATAGTCTCGTGGTTCGGCTACACGGTTATTACCTGTCCTAAGTCGACATAGTATATTACAACTTCAAGTGCACTATTACGTAACTATCTCGAAGCGCTGTTCTCTTCCGAGGTTGTTGTACATTACTTTGGTTTTCTGCAGATTAATTTTAAGACCTACTTTTCTTCTCTCCTTGTCTAACCCCGTAATCATGGGTTGCAGTTCGTCCCCTGAAGCAATGGAATGTGATCGGCGAAGCGCAGGTTACTAAGGTACTCTCCATTAACTCTTATGCCTAACTGTTCCCATTCTAGGCCTCTGAAAACCTCCTGTAAGCAAGCGGTAAGTAGCATTGGGGAGATTGTATCCTCCTGCCTTACACCCTTCTTGATTGATATTTTGTTGCTTTCTTTATGAAGCAATATGGTAGCAGTTCATCCCCTGTATATTTCTTCCAAGATGTTTATATATGCTTCGTCGACACCCTGATTCCGCAGTGTCTGCATGACTGCTGATATTTCTACTAAATCAAACGCCTTCTCGTAATCTATGAAAGCTATGTATCGTGGTTGGCTGTATTCTGAGCATTTTTCAATTACCTGATTGATAAGATGTGTGGTCGATTGCTAGTAGACTGTTCAAAATCCTGCTTGTTCCTTTGGTTGATTGAATTTCAATGTTGCCTTAATTCTGTTACCAATCACCTTTGTAAATAGCTTGTATACGATGGAGAGCAAGCTAATTGGCCTGTAATACTTCATGTCCTTGTCATCTCCTTTCTTAAGTATTAAGACGATGTTAGCATTCTTCCAAGACTCTGGTACTCTTCTCGTCAGGAGACACCTCGTAAACAGGGTGGTTCGTTTTTCTAACACAATCTGTCCCCCATCTTTCAGCAGATCTGATGTTACGAGATCCTCACCAGCAGTTTTGCTTCCTTGGATGCTCTTCAAGGCTTTTCTGATTTATTCTATTATAACTGGTGAGGTGCCATCTGAGTTGCTGCTAGTTCTTATAGTAAGGTCGTGGTTGTCCCGACTACTACTACAGGTCTCTGTAAAACTCCTCCGCTATTTTAATACCTATCCTATTGGTATTTATTTTGCCTTCCTTGAGCCTTAGTGCGTACATCTGATTTTTGCTTATCCCAAGTTTCGTCTTCACTGCTTTGACGCTTCCTCCGTTCTTCAGAGCGTGTTAAATTATCTCCACATTAATCCTTCTTACATCGGATACGTTACGCTTATAATCAACTTCAAAAGCTCTGCCAACTCGATTTTGTCTTGGCTTTCATGATTTGATGCTTCTTAATAAAATTATTCGTTTCCTGGGTCAGCTTGCCAGTATCCTGTCTAACTACCGTTCCCCCAACTTCTACTGCATACTCCGGAATGATACTCGTCAGATTGTCATTCATTGCGTCAACGCTAAGGATGGTTTCCTCGATAAGGGTCGAGTACCAGTTCTGAAGCGAGACTCTGAATTCCTGTACATTCCCAGTCAGTGCTAGCTCATTGATTGGCTTCTGGCGTATCAGTTTTTGTCGTTCCTTCTTCAAGTCGAGACCGTACCATTATAAGGCCACTGCATCGTACCTTGCCAGGCACTTCCACATAGACCCCTTCTACACTCCTAACCTCACTGAGCCCTATAGCTCCTATAATAGTACAGCTAGACTTGCCTCACCAGATAAGGTTCTAGCTTTAAACGTTGCCAGGTTCAGGTTCCAATGGCAGCCTGTCCTGACCCAGAGATTCTTAACATGACGTAATTGACGTAAAATACGTCAATTAACTCACGACCCTATATGGATGTTAACACCAAAGTTCGGCGACCAAAGAGTATCGTCTTTGATGCTCGATCATTCTATGGCGCAAAAAGAATGAATGTCATTCGTTAACATTCGTTGTCATTTATCGTGAACAAAGTCCTCCCCCCCCCCCAATCCCTTCATGGTGTATGTGTGCGTGTTCACGCTGTTACCACCTTTATACACATACGTGTGTGGGAGATGATTGGGAGATGATTACAGGCTCCATACACAAACATACGTGCGTGTATGAAGCCTGTATTGAACATTAATATGCAGCAACAAGCCGGAAACGTGTTTTTTATTCAGTGACATATCAATTTATTGCTGCTGCGCGGCGCATTGTCATTTCACAATGAATTTATCTGCGGTAAGGTCATCGCATTCCTATTTTCACAGCACAATCCCATTAGGCGTCGAGTGGTACGCCGTTGGGTAGAAGGCTGCGACAGATAACAGTTATACTGCTACATACACTTCTCGATACAACAGCACGTGGCCAAGACTGTTGAAAAGCGTGTTGCGTTAACAAGGAAAAAAAGTAAATAATGTTGTTCCCATCGAGAAAACAGACAGGCCATCGGTTAAGAGAGGGATGAGTCAAGGGCTTATAGCACTGCTGCCATTCACCCCTGACGTAGCAAAATGTAGCTTACGGTCGCCGGTACTAAAGCGCGGAGCAAGAAACCGTGCCACCAGATTAGTGCCGATGCCATAGCGTTCCTTTGCGTTCCCTCATTGGCGTGGCTAGCGAATCAAAGGAACAGGGGGGAGTACAAAAGAACGCGGGGATCGGAA